AGACCATCTTTCATTCGAACACATGATGTTAAGTTAGATACAAGTAATCATAGAAAGTCCCCATTTGTTCCCCCCCAGTTAATACTTTGTAGAAGAACGCCGTGGTTAACTCATTCGAAAGCCTTCGAAAAGTCAATAAAGCTGCAGTAAAATTTGCCTTTGGTCTTTGAGATATATTTCAGTACACTTGCTTGAAGAGTAAATATTTTATCTATGGTTGACTATCCTGATCCCCAACCTGCTTGTGTTTCACTGATGATATGGTTATTGTCACACTAGGATTGTCGGCGTCTATCTAAAGTGGTAGGCAGTGCATACATCAAGGGTCAACGAGAGATATTCCCCTGTAAGTATCTGTGAATACACAATGCCATTTAGAAAGTGGTCAAATGTAACAAATGCTATATTTAGGATAACACTTTCTTAGTAAAGTACAGATTCTCGTACTTTTTTTGGGTTGAGTCCCGTCCGGGATTCGAACCCACACTTGCCAGAGTGAGGCACCAAATCGCCGGCACACAAAGTCAGCGATCTAACCCACTGGTTCATCCTTATTACCTCCCTTGGATATGAGACGGCTTATCCTCTTTCCCCATCCCTCTGGGAAAAAATCACCAGTATGAAGAATTCTGTTGAACATTTTTTTAAGTAGGTGCAATAAAATGTACTTTGGATGACATCCTATTCACTTACAATACCGTTAGGCCCTGGAGGTTTATCATTTATTAAATTGTGCGAACACGGAAGGACGTCCTCATGAATGAAATAACTGTTCAGATCGGCAAATATTTCTGTGTCGGATAAAGCTGGATCCCCATCACGTGTATCTGATATCAAAGTCATAATCACAATCAATGCGTTTCTCAATACTTAGTGCGAGTGAGTTGCTTTTAACGCCGCTTTTAACAGTATTCCAGTTATATCACGGCGTGTCAGCTAAATGTGGGAGGAAAGCCCGAAGTGATGCAGGTCTCACACGTTTACCACTTCGATGAAACCCACGAGAACGGGTATGGTGCTGACAAAACTAGAAACATAATCGGGGCGAAACGGAATTCGAACCTACAATCATAGCTTTCTGGCGCCCAGGGGACGCAACTCTGCACAGCGAATCATTCTGGCGCCCAAGGGACGCAACTCTGCACAGCGAATCGCGGCGCCTTAGACGACTAGGCCATCCGTGCCCCTCAATACTGAGAAAAGTTCGAAAATACCCAAGCCACTGATCTAGGGTAATAACACTGGATATTCCTATAAAAGTTTTCCAAAACATCCTTGGATTGTTCCTACTCTAGCTTATTTCTTTGTTTCTAGTAATAATATCTTCTTTTTTTAAAAATAAAATCTTAAACAATCTAGGTTCTACTCTGAGTGAGTGAGTATGGTTTTACGCCGCTTTTAGCAATATTCCAGCAATATCACGGTGGGGTCACCAGAAATGGGCTTCACACATTGTACCCATGTCGGGAATCGAACCCGGGTCTTCGGCGTGACGAGCGAACGCTTAAACCACTGGGCTACCCGACCGCCCCAGGTACTACTCTGAAGTTGTCAATATCCTCTCCATAGTCTCTGTGAGCTCTTAAAGCTGCATATTTCCTGTTTAATAATCTCTAACTCCTCATCCCACCATGGGTGGTGGTGGGGTAGCCTAGTGGTTAAAGCGTTCGCTCGTCACGCCGAACACCCGGGCTCGATTCCCGACATGAGTGAAATTTGTGAAACCCATGTGTTATGTCCCCTGTTGTGACTTTGCTGGACTATTGCTTACAACGGTGTAAAACCATACTCACTCACTCACCCATCACATCATGATGTTTGCCTTATTTTGTTTTAACGTAACTGTTAGACTTAAATATCCTTTGATGGGACATTCAGAAAATTGATACAGTTTTGTCAGAAGTCTGATTGTGTTATATATATCCACTTGTCTTCACTCAGAGACACAAGTTCTTCATATATTGTGAAAATACTTTCTTGAAAACTGTTTAGAAACTGTTGTTTATTATCATCATACCACTCATATTTACTCCACTGTGTGCTGTAAAAATTTACTCGATTCGTTGTATATATGTATATATAAAATCACTGTTGTATCTGAGGTTATCTTTTTGTTTGTGAATAGAACATAACAATGGGAAATTATAAATGTCGTGTGAGAGAGAGTTGTGACGTAACGAACAATTTCTTCACATCAAACATTATGAGGTAGTCGATCTGTAGTTTTTCATTGTTGTTTAATGCCGCACTCAACAATATTCCACTCATATGACGGCGGTCTGTAAATAATCGAGTTTGGATCAGACATCGATCCACGCAATTGGTATACGATAACATCCATCAACCAAGTCAGCGAGCCTGACCACCCGATCTTGTTTGTCGCCTCTTACGACAAACATAGTCACCTTATATCGCCCTCTTGCTGTTTTCGCAAGGCTGTTATAACTGGCCAATCAGATGGATTGATGTTTTGACGGGTAATGAGAATCTACTGTGAAACCCCGTTAATCCGGGCGATGCTGTGACTAGTCTGGATTAACGACTTTTTGATATTTTTCAAGACAGTAATCGCAAGATATCAACGTCTTTACTTCTGTAATGGCGACGTTTAGGTGTGGATCTTGAAACCGTTTGCCAAGCATGGCTGAATACTTAACATGGTCCCATCTGCTACCATGAACTCATTAGGCAATAATCACCCCACCTATTTATATACGTAATCCTGTTTAATGAGCTTCCTGTTTATTGGCCATGCATCATGTTGCGGTGTTATCCTTCTGTTATTATTTAACCTACTAACGTTAATGTCTATCATGTATGTTTGTTGTTATTGTTAATCCACCTACCATATGTATTTTGTGCCATGTTCATTATTCAGCCTTGTTTGACAACGGTATAAGGTGAGGTGAAATGGGGTTTAACGTCGCGCCCAAGATTATTGCACCTTATTACACTTATATAGCGACGTGCATGCACGTGTGTGTGTGGCTGCTTGTACTAGTCCGGACTGATGCAGACTTATAGTGCTAGCCCACTGAGATACCATGCCGCAGTTTAACATGAATACCCCACTCAGACACAGTATACTGACTCCGAGACAACCAGTTCTTGTTTTAGCCCCTTAATGCCGAGCGCCAGACAGGGTAACAAGTACCATCTTTTAACGTCTTTTGGAATGACGCGGCCGGGGATCGAATCCCGGACCTTCCGCTCTCCGGGCGGACGCTCTACCACTAGACCACAGAGGCGGTCCAAACCGTATAAGGTTTTACACCGAAACTTCGACATTACAGTAAAATAAAGAACGTGCTATCCATAAATTGTGTCTAATTGGACCTATAAAGATGCTCTGAACAATACGGTGTTGAGTTGTTCTGCCAGGATCATTTTAATCTAACGTTTATTCTAAGTGAGAGGAGGTATAGAATATTAGTTACACAGTCCCGTGGTTCATATGGCATTTACACTGTTTAGCTAAAAGTGGTAATTCTACATGTATATACACATACCTCGTCTCGCCTGTAAGCACGTGCAAGTCTTAAAAAACGTAAAGGAGAATACAGTTATTTTAACTCATGATGACTTGCATGTGGTAAACGTTTCGGAGATCACGCAATACTGAAAGCCAGTTCCGTCTGAGTGGAGATATCAGCAACTAGCCTTGCTCCATGGCTGTACTGAAAGATAAGTCCATGGATGTGTAGTAATTCTATCCGCCCAATAGGCAAGTCTAGATATGTGGACAGTAGGACTCCAGTCTCTTATAGGGGCAGCTTGTTCTTATTATTAACATGATCTAGAAATTATGATTTATTTAATAATTATTGCCTTAGAGACTTGCGTAAGTCTAATCAGCAACCCACACGCTGCAGTTTGTTTTCCGAGTATGTATTATCATCGCGTAGCGGCCTAGATTTCATCAGCCACCTTACAGCCAATCGGAAACAAGCACGTTGCCTTAACTTGTCGAGTTGTTTGTGGTTTTGTTTGCGTGTTTAACTCCGCACTAAGCAGCATGCGCGATAAACTACAAAAGTCTCTTATCACAACTTCAAACGGAACCTCAAGTCAATCTGTAGTGTTTTGTCACAGTAACTCGTAGTTGTACACAAACATTAGTTTGTATTGACTCATGTACCCTACGAGGCCGAAGCGTGAGCTTCAAATAAACATTTTTTTTATTGACCCGTGATTATCAGAAGCTCTTCCTTCGGCCATGTAGGTATAGGGGTAAAATCGGCTATGCGTCCTTGTGATGACATCCTAATAAGATTTATAGCCAATCAAAGAGAACGATAATCATATTAGCAAGAGTTACAAGATTATATTCAATGCCTAAAGTTTTACTGGAGAGATAAGGTGTTATCAAATTGTTGCTTAATACGTTACCTAGACTTAAGATACAAATGCCACATCAGTGAACATTATTTCTGCAAACAATAAAAGCTATTTGTGAAATGTGTGTGTATCTTGTCTTTGTGTTTTGGAGTGATGTGATGTGTTATGAAAGCGCCCAAAACACTTGTTCCTATTAGACGAATCTTTGATATTTTGACAAACCCGATTTTTAAGCCAATTTTAGGATTCTCGTTTGTGTTGTATATTAAACAACCGTTGTTGCGATGAGTCATATGTTCTAAAGGGAAACTTTAGTTGTATATTAACAACCAATAGATCTACATATGTCACAAATATGAATGCATATAAACACAATATATATACACAATATATACTATATAATTACTATATATATAGTGTCCTGAATTTCTCTTTCATGTTAAAAAAACAAAACTTTTACAAAAGAAATGCCCGTTGTGGTTATATTTTCTGATATATAATTCAAAACGAAAGTTATGTTTTCCCCAAATTGCTGATGCAACCCGTCTGTCCGTGTCCCAGCTTTCATTCCACGTAACGTCACGTTCTATTTTTAGCAAGGCTTGCATCAGGGAGAACAACCAATGAGAAACAACTTCACACGAGGCGTTTGCCGAATTCAACCAATGCAGTTTGTCCACATCAGCACTTACACCTCAGCCATGGAAGAGACAGGACGCAGAAAATGAGTTGACAGTAACAAACCTTGATATCTACGAGTTGATTCTCAACCGATCCATTTCTGACCGAAGGAAATTGTACCCCGACTACGAATATGTCTCTGCTTAGCCCCAAAACCATCGTGATTACCGCCATTTCGGGCAAACAGCCCGTCTATCGATCCATGAATCTCTCCGACAACATGGACGAAGAGGGCGAACCTAAAAAACGACGACGCTTGACCCATCTGTCAGCTGAAGAAAAAATGTTGCGAAGGTAAGTGTTTATGAAACTGTTCATGGTGTACTTTTGATTAGTTGATGAACAAAATGTGTGTACAAAGGTGGGTATGGCTGATTGTCAATTGTAGGATTTAGCTCGCGTATGCGCTGTCGATGACTAGGCTTGTGATCGGCAGCTGTCGCGTTGGCAGTCCACTTGTTGACGTCAATAATGTTTCGTTCCTCATGACAATCGGTGGTTGTCGCTGTTGACGTCATAAATCTGGAGTTCCATGTGAGCCCCAACGTGTCATATTTTTATGTGAACAACCTATACAAGTACAAGGCAACTGCCGAAGGCTGGGAATATTAGTATTAAGGGCGTGGCACTACGTCGGTTACCGTGTTGAGTGTAAAAAACAATCAGAATTTTTGCTCACGATCTTCTTATCAGGCAGTGCATACATGGGGAATGAAAAATAGTTTTTGAGGTAACATGTTAAGTGATTTAATTAAGGGTACCCCAGATACAAATAAGCCAATAGACATATATAGGATCCCAACACCCTCCTATAATTTCTAACACTGTCAAGTCAAGACATATCTTTCGAGTTTATGTAATTTATTTTGATACAACAATGGCAATATTTTATCATTTTCTTTTCCAGGAAACTGAAAAACAGAGTCGCAGCACAAACAGCCCGTGACAGAAAGAAGGCGCAAATGAGCGACCTCGAAATAAAAATTGCCAAGTTGGAATCCGAAAATAAAAAATTGCAAACAGAAAATAAATTGCTGAAAACAAATTCCACATCGCTTGTGAAAGAGAACGAAGCCCTGAAGGAACGACTGGGTCAGGTGGCTTCCTCTGTCAGTTTGTCGTGTGGGCGTGTGAGCAAGTCTGAACCCCCCAGGTCTGCAGCACCTGCTGATCCTCTGCCGAAGGAACAGATCCAGGCTCTCTCCCACGTCCTCGTGATGCACTACGCAGCATTCTCCCTCACTCTCAGGTGGGCACATTTCCTTCATAGTATATCAAACCTGTGGTTATTCCTGGTTTAATTAGTCCCCAGCAACCCAATACTGGGACCGTTTCACAGTCGTAACATTATGACTGTCATAACTCCCATAGTTTAACATAGACTTAAGACATTCGTAACAGTACATTCGCTTAGTGAGACGGTGCCCTGGTTGCAAGATGCGACTTATGGACCGGGTGGTTAGACTCGGTGACTTGTTTGATGGTAGTGTTTGAAATATGTGCCTGCCTGTAGGGCAGTGGCAGCTAGATGTCATGCTGGGTCCATAGTTTCAAATTTGTCCTTATCTCCAGCAGTGAATATGTGTTTTTCTCATAGGTGAAGGGTTGCAATAAATACACAACAGATAATTCATTTTGGCAATGTAAAACAGCTTTAAATGGACAAATGTTAAATCCGGCAATAGGGCAAGTCAAACTATATTAACTATTTTCAAGTGATTTCCATTTCTTAGACTAATTAAGATATCTATTTCTTATAATTGAAATAGTTTTTTCAACTTTACATACAGAGACTGCTGTGATATAACTGGAATACTGTTCAAATCAGCGATAAGCCCCAACTCACATGTTCACTATCATACTTAAAGATGAACAGGTGATTGAAGCCCCATAAAGCATTCAACAGCTGGTATCTTTTAATACTTGAAAAATACTGTTTTTTCTGGTAACAGTAATATGTGGTTATGCCGGATCCTGACTTGATTATTTATGTTTCACATGATGACTGGAGGTTCAAAACATTCATTAGCTTGCTGTTTAGGGAGGGGAAAGGTTTCCAACCCACACAACCATTTGCTTGGCCTGATGATAAAAGTGAATTGGACATGTATGTGGTAACATCAACAGCTTCGGTGTAATTATAATGTACTTATCGTCCATGCTCTATTTTACAGCCTGATGTTCTGCTTGGTCTGCTCGAGCAACTCCAAGAAGGGTCAACAGGCATCAAGTCGCAAGCGAAAACAAGCACATCCAGCCCGCTGTCCGACCATGCTTCCGGAACAGCCACGCCCAAGCGATCAGTGGTGGGGGCGTCACCAGCAGAACTGGAATCCATCAATGAACTGATTAAGTTTGACCACATATATTACAAGGTGGAACCCAATACCCAGACTGCAGCCAAGAGCAGTCCTGCTTCTCAGACAAACACGAAGGACCAAGTTGCTGTGTGCCATGTCCCATCGGGACAGGAGGTCAAACAGGAAGTGTCTGTTCCCATGACAACAGACAGTGAAACCGCGTCTAATGTAGAAATGGACATTCCAACCATTTGCATTGATGATGATTCAAGTATCGAGGGCGATACAGGACTGCAGCTTCTTGAGGACATAGAAAGCCTGCTTCAGTCCGAGGAACTGCTCGACTTTGCAGATCTGGATCCCGCAAGCTTGACTTCAGGGAGTGTTGAGATTGAGAAGGAAAATGATTGCAGCAAAACACGAGGCCAGAAAAGGAAACACTCTGCTTCAAATAGCAACTCCGGGTCTCTAGACAGTCTTTCAGTCGACGACCATTTGCAAGATTATTTCAGTGATTCTGGAATCAGTGATGTTCCATCCCCATCCAGTGACATGTCATCTTCTCTTGGTGACGAAACGTGGCATGAGTCGTTCTCGGAACTCTTCCCCGATCTGTTGTAATGTGTGTGTTCACCTGGAGTGTTCCAGGGTGTTCCAGTTGGACTCGTTAGAGCCTGGAGTTGTTTCCTTGAGGTCAGAGACACTTCTATGTGATAGAGACAGCAGTGATTGGCCCCAGCTGTATATTGTTTTCATTTTCATTCACTCATCCCTGTAATAAAGTGAAAGGAATTTGGGTTCCAGTGATTTGTTGCTTGTTCTTTTTCATACAGACAACATGGACAAAGCACATGTGTCACTGTGGGGCGATGATGTTTGTCAATCATGGGTGTAATTCAAATCAGACATTTTGAGGGCCTGGTCACTTCAGACCATCATATTTTGCACACACACACACACATTTAATGTAACAATTTTCCATGAAGTCCCACCCTATAATAAATGACCCAAAATAATGTTCAAATTTATAGTTTCTGTAATTGACAAAAATGGTAGTAATTTTTTTATGACACCTACCCACCCCAACCCCGATATAGGTGATAAATACCCCATTGCCCCTTCTTTATCACGGACAAGCAGTATAATAAATGACCAGACCCTTGTGTGCATCTGAATAAGCTTTCTAACTTCATTTTGATACACATTATCATTTGTACATGTCACTAAATTAAGGTCTGCAGTTTTTGCTGTGATGGTGAAATCAGGGTAGAATTCACAGCTTCGAGTGAGATCTTAGATCATGGAAATCACATTATAGTCTGTTTTTGCACAATAACCTACCTTTGCGTCAGTTTTATAATAGGTTTACATATATTACGCCATAATGATATCACTTTCTTCACACTGACCTTTGACTTTGACACAGGAACAAATTGGCCCCAAGTCCAAGTCGCAGCAATTCACTGTGTAAAGTTGCGTCCCTTGGGCACACTCGAAACATATGATCGCTTGTTCGAATCCCGGTTCGCCTCGTTTATGTTTATAGGTTTGTCAGCACCATACCCGTTTTCATGGGTTTTCGCCAAAGTGGTAAACGTCAGATGGCAGATTTGCATCACTAAGGGCTTCCTCCCAAATAAAGCTGTGATATATCTGGAATACTGTTAAACCAAACACACTCGTCCGCAATGTCCAACCTCTCCAGGTAGTGTGTGTGACCCCCAGCGCCTCTCAGATTTTGAACTTTAGTGCCAGCACCATGTTGGCACAGGTTAGCTTTCTCAACAGTACAGGAGGCACGGGTGGCCCAGGCGTCTTGTGCATAGTTGCGTCCCTTGGGCACTTCAGAAACCTATGATTGTGGGTTCGAATCCCGGTTCGCCCCGATTGTTTCTAGGTTTGTCAGCACCATACCCATGCTCGTGGGTTTCACCTAAGTGGTAAACGTCTGAGACCTGCATCACTTCAGGATTTCCTCCCACATTAAGCTGACACGCCGTGATATAACTGTAATACTGTTAAAAGCGGCGTTAGAAAACCAAATTCACTCGCTCGACGGTACTCTGACAACCTCATGTTCTGTAACACTGTTCCTAGAGGTTCGTATCCCAAATCAAGCAAGCATGGCATGTGTAAATAGTCTACATATAAGTACGTATATATAATAACTTAAGTTGTGGAATTGTGACTAAGGACAAAGGGAAATTCAAAGATTTGAGTATTGTAGTACATGTGATCCAAACGATTTGATTTTCGTCAGTCAATATGGGATGATACCGACATTCACGTCGGCGTGGTGAATAATAGGCACCTATGACTTGTAAAATCGCTCGGGAACATCCCGGCCAATTATCCCCGGGAAGCAGATGTGTTGTATTGATTTGCTTCGTGTACAGTGTCGCACTACTGACCTCAGCTGATATTTGATGTATGGGCGTGACAGATGTCTCAGTATCAGTATGACCCTATTTAACCGACCCGTGCTTGTGAGAGGAGACTAACAGGATCGGGTTCATGCATGTTATCGTATCCCAATTGCGTGGATCGATGCTCATGATGTCAAAACTGGGCTGTCTGGTCCCGACTTTATTATTTACAAACCGCCGTCATATTGCTGAATGCGGCGTTAAACAACAAAAACCCCATTCAAACCTGAATTTGTCAGATTGTGAAGATTAGTACCAGTATCAGGATCATGTGATCAGCATGCTTAAAATTCAACCTTCGTGCAGATGCTGAACTACAGGGGTTATGGATATGAGCCGGATTTTTGTGGAAAATAACATTTTCAGCACATTTATCATGCACAGACTTGTGGTCTAGTTGATTAGGGCGGAAGGTCGGTGGTTCGACACCCGGCCGCGTAATACCAAAGACATTGAAAGATTGTACTTGTTGTTACCCTGCCTGGCGCTCGGCATTAAGGGGCTAATACGAGGACTGGTCGGCTCGGAATCAGTATACTGTGACTGTGTGGGGTATTCATGTTAAACTGCGGCATGGTATCTCAGTGGGCTAGCACTATAAAACTGGCATCAGTCCGGACTTGTACCATCGTGCGCGAACGCATACGCATACGCGCACACATATACTCAATCCGGGTTAGATAAGGTCTTCAGCAACCCATGCTTGCCGTGAAAGGCAACTATGCTTGTCGTCAGAGTCGACTAACAGGATCGGATTGACATGATATCAATGTCTGAATTGTCTGGTCCAGCCTCGATTATTTACATATCCCCGTCATATGCTGAGTGCGGCGTTAAACAAAAAAAAGTAGAGATATTGAACTGGATGACCACGCCCTGCTTATGATCAGTATGAAACAGCTGTCTCAAATAACGCGAACAATGTGTTCGCCGTATAATGAAAGTGATTTTTAGCATGCGCAAATCGTGCATTCAGTTGAATTCCCGCTTGGACTGCATGCATGTTCGGCATATCAATAGTCGCCAGTTCGGAAGAATAGTCGGAGAACAGATGTCCCCTTGATATGAATCCATGAGGAGCGAGCACGCTATATTGGTCTGTTCAACTGGCTTAAACATACTGTATTTCCTCTATTAGACGCCCTAACGTCTATTAATAGCTTCTAATTTAGAAGAGTGCGTGTCATCCGACGTCTATTAGAGACCGACGTGCATTAGAATCCAGACGTCTAATAGTAGAAATACGGTATGAATAAATGTGACAGGATAAACTTTCACACTTGGCATTGATATTTTAACGGCGTCTACAAGTCTTAACAAAGTTCCTTGATGTCAGTAATGTTCGTCATATATATATCAGCACTGCTAAACAAAACAAAATCTAATTGAACAACGTTTTTTTTAGGGACAGAAGCTATGGGCGGGTGTGCAACCACAGGACCATGCATGTAACTAACAATAATAAACAAACTCGCAGACGAGGCCGAAGGCACGTTTTTTTCAGAATTTGTTTATTATTATTATTATTATTATTATCAACGGAGAACCCAATCTCAACTGAACTGCGTGGCGCGTGACACATGCACGTGGAGTTCATCCTCCATGCATGTATTCCTCGTGCACCACGTCGACACAACACTTCACCGCATGTGTTCACATAAATAATTTTCACTTTGCCTGAACAAAACTGAAACTGCCTAACGGTGTACAGTCGGCCCGCAGCAAAGCGACATACGCACAACCGACTCTCCCCACGAGCTGACTTTCCATCCTGCTGCCGGCAGTATCAACTGCAGGGATCTTTCACATCCGCCGTATCAGTTGCGTGGGCCTGATTTTTCCTGTTTGTTTAGCAGAAGTAATAGTTTCATAATTCCACCACGGCCCGTTCCACTTAGCGATTTAGCACTGAGATGACCGCAACTCCCATACTTTAACATATACCGTAAATCCTTTTTATAGACACCTGCCTTTAAATGAACGCCAGGGCGTCTATTCAAGAATTTACGGTACATAGGATAGTCGAAGCACTATGATGTCCCTGGTCATAAAAACACGATACTTTTTTGTCATACGTTGAAACAAGTATTCCATACACAGTTCTTAATTTCAGCTAAATAGATATACAAGGCTGAACAGCTGATAAATAAGTAAAACCTATTTCCATGTTGACTATTTACATTGCGCATGCAGGCCCATGTGACCGTTTCTCAGAGTGAAACATACAAGCATATGAGATATTCACAATTATATTTATTCTAAATCCAACAGACTAAACAGATTATCCAGTGTACTCTGTCTCCATTGTTTTGTGATAGATAGCCTGGACCATATACCTTTCGTTGCGACAGTGACGTCGCCATCTCCATCTCACTTACCAGTCATCACTAACGTTTTGATTGAGGCCTATTTTACCGTCCTGTCATTCGAATCGTGCTGCTCAAAACGAAGCAGGGAAGGTGGGTTAGTCTTTGGTTAAAGCGTTCGCTCGTCACCCAAAGACCAGAGTTCGATTCCCAACAAGGGTACAATGTGTGAAGGCCATTTCTGGTGTTCCCTGTCGGGATATTGCTGGAATATTGCCCAAAGCGGCGTAAAGCCATACTAACTCACTCACTCAAAATGATGGTAGTGAATGGTTCCCTGGATAAACGAGGATGTAACAGATGATATATCACAATTTACCACATACTAGTAATAAGTATTGGTATCACATCTTTTGTATAGAACTAGATCTACAAGTAGATTCTACCTTGCCCCGGGGTGAATTGAGTATTTGATATTGGCGAGTGAGTTTGGTTTTGCGACGATTTAGCAGTATTTTAGCTATATGAAGGCGTGGGACAAGAATGGGGTTCACACGTTGTCTCCGTGTGAGTAATATCGAACCTGGTTATCGGCGTGACGAGTCAACGCAATTCCTTCGACAGAAACATACAAACTCCATTGACCCGGGGCAGATTGTCCGAAGACCATCATCACCCATCAAGCAGAGAAGGGAGCAACACCTACCATCTTCGTCAATGACTGCTCCCTGAGAGCCCGGATGAATATGACAACAAACTCAACAGGTGGTTGAGAATCGACACATGTTTAACTTCACGCGAACTTACACACCACGAAACGCCGGGTAAATAGCAGCTTTGTTTTCTTGTTGATGCGGAATTATTCCACACTTTTGAAAGCTGAAATAACTCACGGACGCATATTTGTACAATTATTTCTTGTTAATTTCGGCAGTCGAATCGCGAAAACTTGAACTCATTGGAGCTTTCAAACATTTTATTTGGATGATACTCTATACAGTTTGTTTATCCTGTGTAATTAGTAGTGCAATAGTCACGATACGGTTTTTCAGCCCTCTTGAAAGGGGGATCCTGACCTCAATGTTACAACAGAAATCGCTTATCAGCTGGTCAAGGAAATACATGTGATCGTACTCCGTGTGGATTCAGGGCTAGCATAGACCCAGATGCAGTACCGGTGCGCTCTATCAGCGATAGAAATTGACACTAGTCCTGTAGTCCTTGCCAAACTGGCCAATAGTTAAGGTAACGTAAGGACCAGTAGAAATTTGCAGTTTAAGGGTTTTGATATTTGTTATCGTCATAGGGGCGGTCGGGTAGCCTAGTGGTTAAAGCCTTCGCTCGTCACGCCGAAGCCCCGGTTCGATTCTCGACATGGGTACAATGTGTGAAGCCCATTTCTTGTGTCCCCCGTCATGATATTGCTGGAATATTGCTAAAAGTGGCGTAAACCGCATTCACTCACTCACTCACTGTTATGGTCATAAGCATGATAAGGATGTGGACTAAAACTGTTAAGTTTCTTTCGATGTCTATGCTTCTCATGAGTGCACATTAATCATGATCGGATGGTGACATTGTGTGGCATGTATTATTGTGTGTGTCAGTGTGTCAGTCATGTACATGCGACTTTACAGGTCATTGTGATGTTAAGTTTGATGGGTATCGGCGCGATATAACACTATAAAACGTGAACCAGTGCAAACTACTATTGAAATGTGCAACCTAACATTAATGTCTACATGCACCAAGTGCGTGTAAATAAAAAGCCAATCTGACTAACCCTTACTTTTCCACAAAACGATATTTGAACACTCTAAATATTGCTAAAGTTTATGTATCGTACTACATCACTAATCCCTGTGTTATGTGTAATTTATCATGCTTTCTTGGGCTGGACATGATCAAACTGTGGGTAAAGCTACTTCAAGGTTATGTGCACATGTTCCCCGGCCAATACTTTTACCGCAATAAAGTCATTATTTTATGTAATATCTTACGTAATGTCTTTAGAGAGATGAGATCATATGTATTTAGACTAATGTTACGCATCTATATTTCAAACTAGGTTTTCATGTCAAGTTCTTTAAATCGAGCCCTGTGGTGTTCCTTGCCTCAAATTTTAAAAAAACACCATAACCCCTGACTAGAAGTATTAAAAAGTCAGTTATGTAGGGTTAGGTTTCCAAATTATTCCAGCCATATTTGAAAAAAAGGGTAACAGGTGGGAATCTTTCCATGTAAAGTTGACATCTGCATTAAACAACATTCACTTACTAATCCTGTGCTTTGTGCTGACGAGGTCAGCCTGGTCATAGCAGTGAAACACACATGATAAGCTATGCAGAGTTGTGTCCCTTAGTGGTTGCTAATGGTAGGTTCAAATCTCAGATTTGTCCTGATCCATGGTTTGTCTGAGCCATACCTGGCCTCCTTGTTTTCACCAAAGTGGCAACTGTCTACACCCTGTGTCACCTAAGGTTTCATTGCTACATTGTATTAGGAGGTATTTTGGCACTGCATTCAATGTAACAGTGTAAAAGAAAACAATACATCTGTTAAAGTCTCTTGATCCTCTTTCTTGGTCATGTTTTGTTATGACTGAAAAAAACATGACACCTTTACCATGTCTACAAAGCCATAACAAGACTTATCATTGGTGGTGCGGTCGGGTAGCCTAGTGGTTAAAGTGAGTGAGTGAGTCACGCCAAAGACCCTGGTTCGATTCCTGACATAGGTACAATATGTGAAGCCCATTTCTGGTGTCCCCCGCCGTGATATTGCTGGAATATTGCTAAAAGTGGTATAAAACCATACTCACTCACTCATTTATCATTGGTTATGTAAAGAGCATGGATTGGGAAATGTAATTCCAATGTCCTTCGCTACCAACATTCTCATAATCTGCCATGCTTACTGGTGGCGCTGTGCTATTTCTGCCATTATGGGAGGTAACTCTATTGTTTCTGTTCTATTTATAGATTATCGCAATCTCACTAACTGACGATTCAAGTATCGTGTGTACCTAAGTATCGATGATATCTTAAATATCAGTGAATTGTTATAGCCATAGTCAACATGTATCCATAGTACGAGGATTGGATCTGGAACAAGATGTGTTTCAGCATTGCAGATGATATGGTACATGGGGATGAGACGGGAGCTTTGTCGACCTAAGGTGATGTGATGTCGGGAGATAAACCTCTACATGAGTTACTGACGCCATCTCACAGCCCGACCTGCGCCAGTAAACCCACACAGCTTACACTATCACCACACAGGGCTGATTTGAGAAGGAGATCTAAAAGTATGTACAACAGGCTGTATTTGACAAATCTCATTAATGAAACATATCTTTTACTCTGATACGAGATCTCTGTGCGAATATCAGAGGACACTTCCATAAATGGTCGTGTTAGGTGAACCCTGATTGGACAACTTAGACACACAATCTAAATTAAAGATGCAAGGAGTCTTGAGCCAAAAATAAACTACTCAACACCCGTGAAGATCCGGGGTAGAATAGGTCTTCAGCAACCCATGCTTGCCGTAAAAGGTGACTATGCTTGCCGTAAGAGGCGACTAAGGGGATCGGGTGGTCAGGCTCACTGACTTGGTTGATGCATGTCATCGTATCCCAATTGTGTGGATCGATGATTATGATGTCAATGACTGGATTGTCTGGTCCAGGCCCGATTATTTACAGACCACCGTCCTATATATACTACTCAAAAGAACTGTAGGACCACCCTATTATTTCAGATTAACTACAGTAATGTGTTTAGCTTATTGCACCCCAACAGTATTGGATATATGGTTTGTCTGGCTCAGAGTGGATTGATTACCATCTTCCCGAGGCAAGAGAGTTAACTAACTATAAAAGTCCAGTTTCCACCCTGTTGAACTATGCTGGTATTATGGAGTTAGCTTTTGGCTGGACTAACGAGTCTATGCATAGTCCAATCACAATCGCGCAACAAAATCAAAATCCGGTTCGTAAACTGTCGTGCAGATTTCGATCGATTGCAGGATTTGCAAAGCATGTGCACCGCCAACTCGTTGTCAACAGATATTTTCCAAATCTTTTCATGTTTTTAATCAAGGTGCTCATGTGATTTGATGCACTTGGCGATGTGAGGCCCATTTTATCACAAAAAAGATCTCGATTATCGATCAGATCGTCTTGACCAGGCGCCGCCATTTTGTTTCAAGCAAATGCAAGTGATACGAGAGGTGGAATCTGATTGGTACATAGGAGAGGCATAGAAATTACAAAATTCATAATAGCCTCTGGTGGCGCTACGACCGAGCCCAGGAATTCCAGCCTAGTTCGCCATGGTGGAAACTGGACTTTTGAAGTCAGTTAACTCGCTTGCCTCGGGAAGATGATTAATTACAGGCTCTTGTAATATAGCTGAAATATTGTTGACTGCTAAAAACATATAAACATACAGGTACCTGTAATGTGTTTGTTTCTTTCCTCTGTATCTGACAATTAAGATATTTATTATGATTTCTTGTTTTGTTGTTATAGGTTTATGATCTTGTACTTTTCTTGCACTTCTAGGCCCGAGTTCACTACACCAGGCTACTCAAGTGCGACAGACACCTTGGGAAAACTTAAGCCAAGAAAAACTTGTTAGTATCACCGTAATGCTAATATAAAATGAAAAAGTGAACACTTCAACAACTTTTTATTGACGATACCCTGAAAATCCTTCATCATTTTCTGTCAATTATTCATGTTTTAGTCTGTTTTCAGTCGTACAATTGGGTATCTCATACCTCTAGTCGCAGGTTAAAAGGAAGCCAGAAGCTGGAATGTAAACAATAAACTTGTTTCCGTCCGGTTGCGCACGCACCTCCCGATGACATGCCACAAATCTCTCAGCGCGCCTCAGAGCTGGTCGCTCGAGAAGGACTTTCGCGATAGACTGCTAGTTTGTATTCTACTAGTACTTATCGTGTGTTTACAGTTGTTGTTCTAATACAGTAATAATAATATGTCTTACCTGTAGGCTCCTGGAATGTAATCCTTGGTAATCCATTGTTTGGGTTCAACACGTGTTTCACTTGATTATACACGTGGCAACATGTCGGGCATTTGTGCCTCGTGTCAAGGAAAACTGTCTAAAGTAGATCCTCACAAGTATTGTCCTTCCTGCATAAATAAGGACGGGTTTTCAACGTGTTCGTGGAATAAACGTTGTAAAGAATGTGAGCACTTGTCTTCTATCAGCTTTAACTTGTATCTTCGTGCGTTGGCGAAGCGGGCTGCTGACCAGCGCTACAAGCAGAGGAGGTCATCGGGTGGATCCTTGGACTCTGCACCCCATCTGGCCCTGGGGGTGGCGCGTCGGCCACACCCAAGAAATCAGTTGAAAAAGACCCGCCTCAGTCAACTTATGTTTTCGACAAGACACGTGACCGTTCGCCTGCTGATGATACTACCCGCACGACTGATCTTCGTCAATCGGTTGATCGAGAGCGTCACTCAGCCACCCCCGTTACGACGGGACCGGGTGGTGATGAGGACCACGAGGGGACTACGGTCCCAAGTCGGTCCTTCTCTCGTCCTACCTACGACGTGCGGGTCACAGTGAACACAGATCCCTCTCTAGAAGTTGTTCCCGTTCACGGGACGACAGGTCGAGTGCTTCGTCGAGAGACAGTAAACAACACGAGGACGTTCGTCGCCTTCGAGGTCGTCGGGAGTTCGATTCGGACGATAACTACAATGGGGATCGTAGTACTTCTACAGTTAGAGATCGTAGCCCTCGCCCCCACGGGGACTTGCGACGCTCTCGAAGGGAGTTTTTGGGAGATCAGCGTCGTAGAGATAATGATCGATCGTCACCCTCGTCTCACTTTCATATCGACCCGGCTTTGATAGGCCAGATGACGGCGGCGGTACTCGCCTTGACGGCGTCGACCGAGAAGGGTTCGACTACGTCGGAGGTCCATGGACCATCGTCCTGTACACCGGTTCCTTCATCTACGCCTACACAATCGACGTCGACGATGGATTGTGACGACAGCGTCGTAGAGATAATGACCGATCGGCACCCTCGTCTCACTTTCATATCGACCCGGCTTTGATAGCCCAGATCACGACGGCGGTACTCGCCTCGACGGCGTCGACCAAGAAGGATTCGACTACGTCGGAGGTCCATGGACCATCGACCAGTACACCAGTACCTTCATCTACATCCACACAATCGACGTCTCCTCCCGATGTCTTCAGAGCCATGGCTCACGATATGGACCAGAACTTGCCTCTGCTCTGCCGGGGCAGAGTTTCAGCAAACCACCTGTTCGATCGCGTTACCCGATCTCTGGCATGCCATTTTCGTCACTCATGAGAAGGGACTTGGATTGGGGGCTACTCTTCAAGAAACCAGCGCCCTCCAAGATTCTTGTAGTAGACAGGCATTGGGGATCCATGGACACTGCTGTTCGTCTCCAGCTACAACCGCTTGCTATGCTGTCGACAGCGAGCCAGCGGGGGAGGTAGTGAGGTCCCTTTTCCCCGCCGTCACCGTCGTCGGAGCCTACTACCTTTAGACGAGCTACCGGTAGGGGGAAGACTTCATCACACGGATCATGAAGACGGTTGTAGAATGGCTCCATCGGCAGGCGATCAGGGTCGCCTTCTACCTAGACGAGCCGTCTCCTACGGGCGACAGGCTCACTAAAATACCGGAATTGCAGAAAATTCTACGTGCCTTCATGGTTGAAGATGAGTCACATTAATTCCGACTGCCGGCCTGGGACCTCGATATCGTTCTGCGCTACCTGTCTAGTTAGACTTACGAGCCTCTCGATCAGGTCGCCTTCGACATTGTCTCAGACAAGAAGTACTGCTCGTATTTTTTAGTTACCTTGTATACTGCGAGTTGCTCTGTAACTAAATTATGCGCCGACCACACTTCGATCGCAATTCATCTGACGTGTGCAGTTGTCATGTCGCATCGATAATTTGTTGTGTGTCGAAGAGCATTAACCATGCTATTTTTCGTTACCTTGGATACGACGAGTCGTTCTGAAACTAAATTATATACCGTCCACACTTCGATCGCAATTCAACTGTCGTGTGCAGTTGTCCTGTCGCATCGATAATTAGTAGTGTGTCGAAGAGCATTAAACATGCTGTTTTAGTTACCTTGCCTACGACGAGTCGTTCTGTAACTACATTATAAGCCGACCACATTTCGATCGCACCTCAACTGACGTGTGCAGTTGTCCTGTCGCATCGATACTTACTTGTGGGTCGAAGAGCATTAAACATGCTGTTTTAGTTACCTTGTATACTTCGAGTTGCTCTGTAACTAAACTATACGTCGACCACTTCGATCGCAGTTCAACTGACGCGTGCAGTTGTCCTGTCGCATCGATAACTAGTTGTGTGTCGATGAGCATTAACCATGCTGTGCGTTTGTGATAAACAATTTGTCTCGTCCGTGCATCTGGTCGAATGTTCTATTGTCACTACAGGGGTGAGGAACTTGGTACATTCGACGTGAAAGTGGTCACTTCTGGATTACTTTCCAGACCCTCCTTCCAGTGTTCCGTCGAATTCTACCCAATTGTACGACTGAAAACAGACTAAAACATGGGTTTTTCAGATTAAAAACGATGTTTTATTGGTCTGTTTTCAGTCGTACGTTCCCACCCAGCCATCCCCACTGGGAAGTAATCCAGTCCAGTCCTGCTTGATGGCTTATTCTTCGAGATTTGTGGCATGTCATCGGGAGGTGCGTGCGCAACCGGACGGAAACAAGTTTATTGTTTACATTCCAGCTTCTGGCTTCCTTTTAACGTGCGACTAGAGGTATGAGATACCCAATTGTACGACTGAAAACAGACCAATAAAACATCGTTTTTAATCTGAAAAACCCATTTTTAGTTGATACTTGGTCATTTTAGTTGACCCCCTGCAAAAGTAAAATGAAAAATAAAATTAACTGAAAAAGCATTATTTTTAGCTCACCTGACTGAATGTTAAGTGAATTTATGTTGTGACCTGTTTGTCCGACGCCTGTTGTGTGTCATAAACATCGACCAAACCATTCGACCAATGAAGCTAAAACATCACATGCTTTTTTCCATCACCCGATTTATTTTCCATCACCCGATTTGTTCAAAGCTGATTTTCAATATGATGCCACGGGATACATGTTAACAAGCCTATTTATGGCATTACACAACCTGTTTTTATTCACACTGGAATGAAATTTGGTACGTGTGTTTAGTAGTGGGCTCAACATATCTCTGCTGTTTTTGTGATATATAATTTTGATCTTGATTCAACCTTTGCCTTTTGATGCACTGAATACTGAAACTTATTGTGACCATTACTCAACCCTTTCTGTTAAAAATGTAATGACATTTGGCATATGTGTAGTTAGTAGTGAGCCTCCATTTTTCATGATATTCTCTGTTGTTATTTTGTTGTGGTCTTTTTTTACCTATGCACTTTGGCCATGCTCCTGAATTATCTTAAAATGCATTTCCTCACACTGAAAACATCCCCTCGGAACCACTGGACCAATGTATGTGAATCTTCACATGCTTGTTCCCACCAGTGAAGAGGGGCGGTCGGGTAGCCCTGTGGTTAAAGCGTTCGCTCGTCACGCCGAAGACCCGGGTTCGATTCCCGACATGGGTACAATGTGTGAAGCCCATTTCTGGTGTTCCCCGCCGTGATTTTGCTGGAATATTGCTAAAAGCGGCGTAAAATCATACTCACTCACTCACTCACCAGTGATGATACCTAAATTTGTTCAAGAGAGTTAAATGTGATTTTTAAAATGGCTGCCATGGCAATCATTTTGGAAGAGCTGTTTATGGCTATTACTCAGCCATTTGTTTTAAATGGAATGAAATTTGGTACATGTGTAGTTATTAGTGGGTCTCAACACATATTTGGCTTTTTTGTGATATTTTAAGTTTTTACTTTGTTTTGATCATGCTCTTAAATTCTCTGAAACACAACACAAAATTGATCTTTGAACTAATTCAATGCCTCTGTGATTTATTTACCATACATCAATAATGCCTGTGTTATGTGTAATTTATCATGCTCTTGGGGGTTTGACATCATCAAACTTTGGGTACTTCAAGATTATGTACACCTGTTTCAACTTTGTAATTGATGGGACCAGGGTGCAACCTGGTTTTGTCGGGTGCAACTAGGTTTCCATGTCAACTTGCACCTAGTGCAAGTTAAATCAAGTTCCTTAAATCGAACCCAGCCAAAAATAAGCAAGGTCACACAAACATGAGGGACCACTCTGAATCCCCTACAGGGAAACTAAATAATAAGTAGTTTTCAGTAAAAGTCCACACCTTATTTTGCTTTGTTTATGGCCAGGGCGGAGTAACACAGATTTGAAATTTGTTCAAAGAGAACTCACAGAAATAATAATGATGCCCCTTCACCATATTGCTGCATTTAAAAAAAATATCATCCTTGGTTGTCCAGGGTATTATGTCTCCATTCCATTATGATGAATAACCTGGATCTTTTCTCTTCCATAGCTTTGTTTTTCTTATTTTAATGGCACAGTGCAAAATTTGGCCATCCAATCAAATTATGGTCTTGAGCAAGTGGAAGTCTTAAGTCAGAGATGCGAGAGATTGTGATGATAACATCACTCCAGTGTTATTGTATCCCCATTGCGTGGAACGATGCTCATGATGTCAATCACAGGATTGTCTGGTCCAGGTTGATTTTTTGACTGATGGTTGTCATATAGCTGGAATATTGCTGTGTGCGGCCTTTAACAACAAACAAACAAAAATAGGAATGAAGCCATGATGGCGAAAGTGTCCAGTGTGTTTATCATGTTTATGCTAATGGAAATATAATACACTGCAGAGGTGAAACCACTGGTCATGTCTGACTAATCCGCAGGTCATTTCGGACTATATATAGTCTGGAAGGTAATTTAAGGTACCGACGTTTACTACAATATCTGAAAAACTATCGGACCTACTCCAGTCAAAGTTGGTATGAGATTATTAAACAGTCATACATAACTGGATATTACATTTAAAGACAATCGGTGCATGAATAAAAAATCTGTCTATTTAGCTATCACTATATTTCATCAACAACAAGACCTGTTAGTCACGGGTGCAATGAGCATTCATTGTAACAGACATCTGCATAATGCTACCCCTGCGTCACAGGGCCATATGACACACGTGCACGGGAATCACGCACGTTGAGACGCCCGATGCTAACACCGTATTCGTGCGTGCGTGCGTGATTCCTGTGCAACCTTTCGAGTTGAGTTGATTGGTTCAACTGTGGCATATGGCCCTGTGACGCAGGGGTAGCATTATGCAGATGGCTGTTTCAATGAATGCTCGTTGTCCAAACTATAGTCCAGACTATACTAGCTTATGGAACATCTAGATTTTGGTAGAAAACAACTAGTCCCTCTTGTTTTTCACTCGTCTCGGACTAACGGACAAGTGGCCGTGTCTATCCCTGCACTGGATATTTAAGATGGCTGAAAGATGAAACTAGTTGTCATGATGATCTACATGACAATAACCTGAGAGTGGGGATTATACCATGTGATCATTGCTTCCTCTTCATCCAAATAAGGAAGTAACCCGTGGTGTCGAATATAATGCCCGTGTTTGATGTTGGAGTGTCGGTGGTGATGCAGTGTGTTGTCGATGGTGATGCAGTGTGTTGTTGGTGATGCTGCAGGTCAGTACGTGGGCTGTTCACGACGTGGAGCAGTGGGTCAGGTCGAAGCAGCTGCACAAGTTCCTCCCTGCTGTGAACAGTAAGTGTCTCCATGGGGCGTGATCTCTCATTTCTTCACAATATGCCAGGGGCGGTCGGGTAGCCTAGTGGTTAAAGCGTTCGCTTGTCACGCCGAAGACCCTGGTTCGATTCCTGACATGGGTACAATTTGTGAAGCCCATTTCTGGTGTCCCCCGCCGAGATATTGCTGGAATATTGCTAAAAGCGGCGTAAAACCATACTCACTCACTCACTCACTAACTCTATCAGAACTCTATTAATTGTTTAGGGTAGCCTTGTGGTTAAAGTGTTTGCTCATCACACTGAGGTCCTGGGTTCAATTTTCCCCATATGGGTACAATGTGTGAAGCCCATTTCTGGTGACTCCTGCCATAGCTGGAATATTGCTAAAAGTGGCATAGAACCAAACTCACTCACTCATACACTTTGGATGTCACAGTTGATAAAAATAAGATTGATAGAAAGCCAAAACTTTACTGCTTCTGACAGGATTATTTATTGCCAATATTGTGTATTAAGGTCCATGTAATTGTAATCAGGTGTTTTACTCCAGTATGATACCGCTGTGTAAAGATCTGAGGAACGCGTCATGTAAACTTTCTTATCAGCCAATCAGGCTTCTAAATTCTCAGTACGATTGAGTGAAGCTTTCACACAAGCATTGCTGATTTATATATCTCAAAAATGAATATGATCAAGGAGTTCAGGATGCAAATTAATAAAGCTGTGCTATTACATTGTTGTGGATATTTTATACACCCTGTCGTTTATGAGCATCATGGCATCTACTGTGGAGGGTATATTTTGTGTTATGTTTTCTTTTGCCAAGATTGAAATTTACGAATCGAGGCAGTAGAGAAATGAAGCTGATTTGTTTTAACAAGCTGACATCTGACTGACTAAAAAAAGCACTATTGGACATGGTTTGATCATCTGATATGCTGGGTTTTGTTTCAGAGTATAAAGTGACAGGAAAGGACCTAATAAATTTGAATCTCAACTTTGTATGTAAGTGCCTTTTTCTGATAGATAGCATTGTAGGAATAGTGTATCTAATGATGGTCTTATGTACATTAGTAAATATTTTTAGTATAAGTAAATATATGCTAAGTATTTTATAAATTTTTGTATAATTATGAAATTGCATGGTGAAACTCAGTTATACAGACAATTTTAGGTGTCTGGATTAACGGGGTTCCTCTGTCTTAGATTATTGTGGAAATTTATTGAGGTGTGAAAGAATTGTATTAGAAAGCAGACATGTACTACGGTACTAAAAGGAAGTTAAAGAACACCTGATTCTTTTATCATGTTTATATTTCTATAGTTAATCTGTCATTCCATGAAATGTTCTTCTTAGGGATTCTGTGATTCTCTGATCTATTGTGGGTTTCAAATCTGTGCCATCTGTCTTTGTGGCAGAAATGTATAATCCCTTTACCCTGAAACACTGTGTAAGATATTATACATTCATTGTGTTGCCATGCAAGTAAACTCATATACATATGTAATATATCTGGGAGTAAACATGCCATAGGATGCCTGCTGACTTGGTTTTTATTGTTCAAGATGACAGTGATGTCTTACCAGTGGATCGAGAAGACCTGTTGTCTGAAGTATACAATCTCGTATCTCCCGGCCAGGTGTCAGGGAAAGTAGAGAGGAAGACTCGCTACAGTAACGCTCAGGAACAAGAGAAATATGCTGCAGCTATGCGTATAGCTCGATGTCGGGATAGAAGTAGTTCACCCTCCCTAGTTGTCTTTTCACGCAGTCCCTCACCAGGGGGCGCTTCGGTTCTCTCGGTTCCTGCAGGTAAAACAAGGTCAAGGTCAGAGTCTGGGGTGGATGGTATGTGGTCGGACTCCACTCCCACTGCCTCACCTGCCAGGAAGTATCTGAAGCGCAAGTCCACTCCTAATGCTCTGTTGGCTGCTAAGGGGTAACTGTCACATTTCCCATTTGAACGTAGTGCCGTAAAGTTTGAGAAAGATGCTTTCTGACTGGCTAATGCCGACTTCCTGTTCGTCATTTTATTGGTCGATTAAAGTTCCCAAATGGTCGTTCTGAGGTGACCTAATAGGATGTCCTCGGAAGCGAGCACTAAGATCCTATTTTAGTGAGATTGGCCTATGACATTATTCAATCAGACTCTTATCATAAAGGGTTTCATAATAAGCTGTGCCCTCTGGTGCTGTGTGTATTCCACACAGTGACGCAGCTTGTGTTATTCAATACGGCAAACATTATTACAGCACCAGACCTGTGAAGATCCGGGTAGAGAATAGGTCTTCAGCAGCCCATGCTTGCTGTAAGAGGCGACTATGCTTGTAGTAAGAGGCGACTAACGGGATCGGATGGTCAGGCTCACTGGATTATCTGGTACAGACTCAATCATTTACAGACTGCCTTCATATAGCTAGAATATTGCTGAGTGCATCGTTAAACAACAAACAAACAAAATATTACAGCACCACTTTTGCTTAAGTTTAGTTGAGTATTGCTAATATATAGGAATATTTTTGTAAAAAATATTTTCTTCCATGCCATTGATCTAGTTAAATAGGGAACACATTTGTATTTTGACAATACTGTTTGTTCAGCCTCTCAAGACGGCCGGCCCTGTTCGATGTGTTTCGAGCCAGTGGACCACAGTGTGTCCAGTGTTACATCATCAAGCGAGGGCAGGACGGGTACGACTTTGTGTGTGACGTCGCCAGCCACGGTGCAGTAGTTGTCAGGACTGTCTCTGAAACATCCCCCTTAAGGGTTGCAGACCTGTAAGTTGTTAAAATCATTATGATAAAAAATAAAAAAATTATAATAATAATACATGCATTTATATAGCGCAACAATTCACAAAATTAATATGCTTTGTGTACGCTTTAGCGACTAAGACTATTATAACAGAAATGTCTTCAGCTGAGGTTTGAAAGTGGAAATAGTGAGTGCAGATTTTTAATTTTTTTCGTCAGATTGTTCCACAGTGACTCTGCAGCGTATGAGAATTGTTTTGGCCGAAAGTACAAGTTTTAATACGGGGAACTGTAATAAAATGTGAATTTATAAAATTGATAGTATCAGATACCTATCTGAGTGAAGATCTGACCACACCTCCATGGGAAGGGACCAACTCCCTGGCGTAGTGGATTGAGTGTAGAGTGGACAGTCGGTGTTCAGTCCCAGGCTGCGTCATACAAAAAGATGTTTATGCCTGGCGCTCGACATTTAGGAAGTATACAAGGGCTGGTTGGCTTGGAGTCAGTATACTTTGTCTGTGTTGGATATCCATTTTTATTATCTCATTGGCCTTTACTATAAAACCAGCATTAGTCTGGACTAATACAAGCACACACAGAGACAGAGACACACAGAGACAGAGACACACAGAGACACACACAGAGACACACACAGACACACACACACACACAGACACACACACACACACACACACACACACACACACACACACACACACACACACACACACACACACACACACACACACACACACACACACACACACACACACACACACACACACACACACACACACACACCTGTAGAAGTGGTTTATCCATGACGTTAATCCCCATTACATCTCATCTCGTCTCACTCAGAAGTTATAGTATCATTGCATAAAATCTGATCTGAATAAGATAAAATCCTGTATTTGGGGTAACTAGATACTGTAAAGAACATTGAATAACATTTGGATTGCTCTGATTGCTGTAATAAGTTGTCCACCATGTTGGTCACACTATATGTCCCGTCAGGAAAACAGATTTGGACAATGGGATTTCTAGATATCCTAATTTTCGATAAGTGTGTTATCACTGTATTACAGTTATATGTGAGCCTCATACTACTGTTTCAGAATACTGGAAATGAATGGGATATCACTTATCAGGGGAGACAACTCTTCCTCTACAGAACTTTTGCTGGAGCGATTGATGCTCAAGTCTGATCAACTGCAAATGGTGGTTGCTAGGCAACACAGAAGGTAGAGTATGGAGCCAGAATGTCATTCTTTCACATAAACAGAACTCTTTCAATTTTTTCTCAACCCAAATTATGAAGAACAAGACAATTTCAGTTATCGGTTTCCCCATATGTGATAAATATATAACTGCCTCAAACTAGTTGGTCTTGGTTTGGTGCAGAATAGGTCTGCTTGTCTCCACATAGAGGTTCCAGGGCCCACATGCACAAAGCGATCTTAGCGCTACGACTATCGTAAGCCTATGTTAAAGTATGGGAGTTACGATCATCTTAGCCCTAAGATCGTTTTGTGCAAGTGGGCCCTAGAGGGCAGATTATGTTGCTCATAATGAAGGTTGATTGCGTGTGACCTGGCCGATTGCGTGTGACCTGGCCGATTGCGTGTGACCTGGCCGATTGCGTGTGACCTGGCTGATTGCGTGTGACCTGGCCTAGTGCATGGCATCATATACTGATGGCATGGATCCTGTCTCTGCAGTCAACCACTAGTTGTCATAGTACCACATGCTCATGCAAGAGTCAATTAATGTGATTGAACTTAAATCAAATACCCTCAAGATATATTCTTACTGAAATATGATACTGTACAATAATTGATATTTACAGTTTTTCTTTATGTTGGTTGTACTTTATGAGGCTGTTTTTCAGGAGTTCGGTGACAGAGTTTAACGACCCACGGAACACAGACCTCAATTTTAAGGTGAGTCACCCAATGATCACGTCTCTTTGTTGTTTGTCATTATTTATTCTTCTCATGGGGGTCCATGCCTGTGTCCCTGTGGTTACTGCCTTTGCTTGTCACACTGAAGACCCAGGTTCAATTCCACAGATGGGTACAATGGGTGAAACCCATTTCTGGTGTCCCACGCCATGATATTTGCTGGAATATTGCTAAAAGCGGCGTAAAACCATACCCACTGACTGTATCCTGGTGGGGGTATTTTGTCAATACATTGTGTGTGTACAGAGTATTCTATGATGGGGATTATGTCTGCTTAACCTGTCTGACTGTGTGACGTCACCTGTTCCCTGAGAAGATCCGGGGAGAGGAGACTAACTGGATCAGGTCGTCCGGCTTGCTGACTTGGTTGATACATGTCATTGTATACTAATTGCATGGATCGGTGCTCATGATGTCAATCACTGGATTATCTGGTCCAGGCTTGAGTATTTACTGGCTGGAATATTAAACAACAAACAAACAAACAACAAACAACATCACCCAATAAGTGGCAAACTAATTTAGGTATATGTGCCACTGTATGTCTCTGACAACGGAACATCTTATTTCATTGAGAAAAAATTGAACAAGATTGAATGCTATGTCACAATGTAGTTGAGTTAGGACGTCATAAACATGTGGTTAGTTGTTGTGTCATGTGGGGGATTGGAATTACCTTCATGTTAACAGTGTTCACGTGTTTGATGCCAAAATTGGGAAAAAGTTGTAATATCCCCCCCCCCCCCCCCCCCCTGTAAATACTAAATTGGGAAATAGAAAATATTCATATTGGGAATGTCATTTGCTGCGGACTTAGGGAAGAATATCGGCCCCTGAGCAGGTCTAGATATGTCGTTGCAATATGGATAATGCTGGAATGTTGATAAGACAAATACCCTATTGACTCCCTCGTGTTACCAGTTGAGTACATCTGAGCACCGATGGCAGCAGCTCAGGGACTTCCTGGTCGACCTCAAGTCTGAGAATGTAGATCCAAATCAGGAGATCCAGAACACATCCGCTGAGCACATCGACAGCGTGAAGGACAGCATTGCACTTCAGGTACCGATTACTGCTTGAACTGTTAGGATCAGTGAGTCCCTGTCGGGTTTCCAGGTTAGAATTAGGGGCGAAATGATACATCGTGAGTTTTATTCGGCGATACGATATGCGATAAGTTTTTTTCTGTGTTGATACAAGACGATACTCTTTTACTCACTACTCGTTTAATGACACCCAGCATTTTTATCAGTCAAATGTCACAAATGTGTTGTAATTAGGGTTTCAAGTTCACAACTTAAAATAGCCACTTTGAACATGTGTCAACAGCTAGCTTTACCTTTTGAAGCTGCTCTGAAATATTTCTAGTCAATAAATTTCCTTGGGTTTGATGTCAATATGCCTGTCACGATACGTATCGTATCATGACCGGGGTTCGATCCCTGACCGCGTCATACCAAAAGACATTAAAAGATGGTACTTGTTGTTACCCTGACTGGTTGGCTCGGAGTCAGTATACTGTGTCTGAGTGTTAAACTGCGGCATGGTATCTCAGTGAGCTAGCACTATAAATCGGCCTCAGTCCGGACTAGTACAAGCAGCCACACAAACACACACACGTACATGCACGTCGCTATATAAGTGCAATAATCTTGGACGCGACGTTAAACCCCATTTCACCTCACCTCACCAATATGAATCAGTGGATTGTCATGTCCAGGTTTGATTATTTATCAAATAGCTGGAATATTGCTGGACACAATGATCAGAGTGGTGCTGAGGTGGTGCAGTTTGCTGTGAAGAGTTGAATCCCCTATCTGTTACATCTGCAGATCATGGTTTCAAATTTACAGGACTGTCCTCATTATAAACCACAATCCTTGGTTTCCTTGGTGTGTAAATCTCAATGACTCAACTGAATCTGAAGTGAAAGCCGCTCTGTGATTCCCAATAGGGATTCTGGGTCAGAATCTGTGCTGGTTGTAAGAGGCTTACACTCACTCACTCACTCACTCACTCACTGACTCACTCAAAACCTATTAACGTAACTGTATTTAGTGTAGAAACGTATTTTCCCAGGAAGAAGTTCAACAACTGCAAGAAGCCTTGTCAGGCCATGCCACGAAGGTCAGCGGCCTTGAGAAAGCGCTTGAAGTCAAGGTTAGTATTCTGAAAAAAATTATTTACAGTAACGGGAATCCATATGATTTTGGTGTACAAGTTTATCCTGTTGAGACCATATAAAATGGAGATATGTGATGCAGCTGTGATGTATGTGATATAGGTGATATGTCTGTTATATTTCCACCTTTGCTTTCATTTGTACTTGTATATACTTGAAGGTCATGAATGACAAGATCTCATCCTGGAATTCCCAACTCACCTACCTTTACTATACTTGAAGGTCTTTAAGATTTTGTTTGTTTTCTGTCACAGGCTGGTGCTTTACTTAATGTGGAGAGACAGCGAGATGTTATCTTGGCAAAACTAGAAGCAATAACACTGGCCAAGTCAAACAAGAGTAGGTCGTCAATGTCGTCAACAGAATCATCTTCATCTTCATCATCATCATCATCATCATCAGTTGACCGCCTGTGTGGTCTAGTGGATAGAGTATTTGCCCAAGGACTGGTCATCTCGGAGTCAGTATACTGTGTCTGACTGGGGTATTCATGTTAACGTCTGAGGGATGGTATATCAGTGTGCTAGCACTATAAACTGACATTAATCCATGCCAGACCATCACCCACACACACACTGACACACACATGTACATGTTTCACACAATGCGACGTTGAGCCCCATTATCATCATCATCATCATCTTCATCATCATCATCATCATCATCAGAATCATTGTTCCACCATCATCCGTATCATCAACAGATTCAGCCTGGAAACCGGTAAGGCGAGTAGTGCATTCACTCATTCCGATGATGATATATACCCAATCCTTGGATTCTCATTCATTATGTTTCTGAATTATTGATGAAAGAGTAACCAAATCAAGTCACTTACAGGCATCATTAATGGGAAGAATATCTGTAGCACTACATAAGTGATGAGTGCATTGAAGGTTTGGGATGATATCTGTAACCATGGTAACACATGAAGTGACAAGTTTATTGAAGGAGTAGGATAAAATCTGTAACTGTGGTAACACTACACGAAGTGACGAGTATTGAAGGGATAGGAAAGTATTTGTAACCATGGCAACACTACATGAAGTGACAAGTGTATTGAAGAGGTAGGATGATATCTGTAACCATGGTAACACTACATGAAGTGACAAGTGTATTGAAGGGATAGGATATCTGTAACCATGGTAACACTACATGAAGTGACAAGTGTATTGAAGGGATAGGATATCTGTAAGCATGGTAACGCTACATGAAGTGACGAGTGTATGGAAGGAGTATGATGACATCTGTAACCATGGCAACACTGCATGAAGTGACAAGTGTATTGTCTGTGGGTATTTCAGGCCCAGGCCCCCTGGTGTCAGACACAGATGGGGACAGTCTGGGTGTGGGTCTGTATGCAGAGCTGATGGAGCACCTGGACCAGGAGACTGCATCTAAGGTGAGGTCAGGAGCATCAATCTGTTAGAGAGCAATCATTTGTTTTTCAAGGGGGTGACCAAAATTTGTCTAAAAAAGAAAATGAAGCCCCTGTTATACTGATTGTTTTATTTTATTGTATTTTCCCTCTACCAAAAACCACCCATATTTCCCCTCCACAAATAACCACCTATATTTCCCCTCAACCTATAACGCCCTACACCACCACCAACTACCTATATTTCCCCTCCACCAATAACCACCTCCATGTCCCCTCCAACAACCACCTATATTTCCCCTCCACCAACAACCACCTATATTTCCCCTCCACCAACAACCACCTATATTTCCCCTCCCCCAATAACCACCTATATTTTCCCTCCTCCAATATTCACCTGTATTTCCCCTCCTCCAATAACCACCTATATTTCCCCTCCTCCAATAACCACCTATATTTGCCCTCCAACAACCACCTACATTTTCGCTCCAATAACCACTTATATTTCCCCTCCAATGTCCACCTATATTATTTCCCCTCCAGAAATTACCACCTATATTTTCCCTCTGCCAATAACCACCTATATTTCCCTTCCACCAATAACCACCTACATTTCCCCTCAAATAACCACCACTGGAGGCCACGGGTGGCCCAGTTGTCTAAGGCCCCGCAATTCGCTGTGCAGAGTTGCGTCCCTTGGGCACGCCAGAAACCTATGAATGTGTGTTCAAATCCTGGTTCGCCCCATTTATGTTTCTAGGTTTGTCAGCGACATACCAGTGCTCATGGGTTTCACCGAAGTGGTAAACGCCTTAGACCTGCATCACTTCAGGCTTTCCTCCCACATTAAGCTGACACGCTGTGATATAACTGGAATACTGTTAAAAGCGGCATTAAAGTCAACTCATTCATTTACTCAAATAACCATCTATATTTCCCCTCCAACAACCACTTATATTTCCCCTCTAAAGAGCACCTATATTTCCCCTCCACCAATAACCACCTATGTTTCCCCCTACGTCAATAACCACCTATATTTCCCCTCCACTAATAACCACCTATGTTTCACCCTACGTCAATAACCACCTATATTTCCCCTCCACCAATAACCACCTATGTTTCCCCTACGTCAATAACCACCTATATTTCCCCTCCACCAATAACCACCTATGTTTCCCCTACGTCAATAACCACCTATATTTCCCCTCCACCAACAACCACCTGTTTCCCCTACGTCAATAACCACCCATATTTCCCCTCCACCAATAACCACCTATGTTTCCCCTCAATAACCACCTATATTTCCCCTCCACCAATAACCACCTATGCTTCCCCCTACGTCAATATCCACCTATATTTCCCCTCCACCAATAACCACCTATGTTTCCCCTACGTCAATATCCACCTATATTTCCCCTCCACCAACAACCACCTGTTTCCCCTACGTCAATAACCACCTATATTTCCCCTCCACCAATAACCACCTTTGTTTCCCCCTATGACAATAACCACCTATATTTCCCCTCCACCAATAACCACCTATGTTTCACCCTACGTCAATAACCACCTATATTTCCCCTCCACCAATAACCACCTATGTTTCACCCTACATCAATAACCACCTATATTTCCCTCCACCAATAACCACCTATGTTTCACCCTACGTCAATAACCACCTATATTTCCCCTCCACCAACAACCACCTGTTTCCCCCTACGTCAATAACCACCTATATTTCCCCTCCACCAATAACCACCTATGTTTCACCCTACGTCAATAACCACCTATATTTCCCCTCCACCAATAACCACCTATGTTTTCCCTACGTCAATAACCACCTATATTTCCCTCCACCAATAACCACCTATTTTGGCCATCTCTATCAACAGGAGGAGGTGTTGCAAGCTTTGAGAGAGACAGTGAAGGAAGCGACAACACAGAAGACGTACCTGGACAAGTTGATGTGTGTTGTGGTGGAGGAGGCATCATGGCTGCTTGACATCATCAACACCGACCTTGCTGACCTCAGTGTGCAATCACATGACAGCAACGAGGAGTTCTGCTGAGAGTTGTCTCCCTTCACTGGCAGTCATGGAGAATTGACACAAGAAATGGTTCTATTGATTTACTTGCCATGAAACAGTTTTAGTGCCTTAGGTCACATTTAGAATAATAGATATTTCTGTTGTTATTAATCAGTGTACTGTTGGTTTTGTTTTGATTTGCCTTTTAACTTACCAGGCCCACAATGGCAAACTTGAGTTTGCCTGTTGTAACAATTCTCTCTCCTTTCCATATTTAATACCTACTGCATTGATTGCAGTTTTGATATTTGAATTCAAATATTGTCACAATATGCCTTAACCAGTGGGGTCTGCTAGTCATAGGTTCAAACCCTAGACAGATACAATTATGGTTTTTGGAGACGTTGTTGACTCCGGTACTACAGCAATGAACCCCAGGTGCCTTTCTGTATTCACAAATGAGTCATTCAAGTTAGCCAACACTTTACCATTAGCGCTATCACAAATTATTTGTTCTTCTTTACCTTGTGACCAGCACCTGATTGTTTGCCTTTATACGCATGTGCGGTTACAAGTTTTCTGAGAAACTCATCTTGTACCGATTTGCCTCAAATAACATTGGTTTGATTTTTAAGTGAGGTGAGATAGCCAGCGCTAATCCTAACTCACAACACATTGGATCATAAAGGGGTGTTTGATAGGCAAGGGTGAAGAATGCTGGGCATTGTGGAAAAGTGTTTGTTTGGACAGGGGACCCAAGGGATTGATTTGGGGGTAACCTACCCTACACAACTAACCTGAAGGATTGAAGATGCATCTGAGATCAGTGGAGCAAGAGCTTCTGTCGAGCCAATGAGTGCTATCTATTTAGCTGTGCCCGTAAACTGCAGTGTTGCTAATTTTTCATCTGGTGCGTAGTTTTAGTACTGCCTTGTAAAGTGGTACATCATGTTGAGTGAGGCTGAAAAAGAAATACTGTTGATTCTCAGACACTACCAGATCGGTTATAACAAAAAATATAAGCATTTCAGATCTTCATTTTAACTAAAAAGATATCTGTATTATATAAATTAATAGTTTTTGTTTGTTTTGGTGTTCCGGTTACAAATTGATTAGGCACCCAGGTTAAATCTGCTTATGACAAATAGATGCTGCCTCCTTGTTTACAAATTCTTTGGATCTTCAAATAACTTTTGTTGGTCACGATACTGGTGAGGATTAGATATTTTTTAGAACTGTGAAGATCCGGGGTAGAATAGGTCTTCAGCAACCCATGCTTGCTGTAAAAGGCGACTATGCTTGTTCTAAGAGGCGACTAACAGGATCAGGTGGTCAGGCTCGCTGACTTGGCTGATGCATGTCATCGATCCCAGTTGTGTGGATCGATGCTCATTGTATTAATCACTTGATTGTCTGGTCCAGACTCAATTATTTCATATAGCTGGAATATTGCTGAGTGCGGCGTTAAACAACAAACCAACAACCAACAAGATATTTTTTAAAGAAGTACAGTGAGACCCCGAGTTTTACCAAGCCGTTGACAAGCTCAAAATGTTTCAAAACAAAATCTGTTTTAGAGGTCATTGACTGGCTGACCTCAACAAGAACATTTGGAGGTCTTTTAGGCTCCAGGTCTCTGATTTCTGTGTCTGTTGTTTGCTTGCTGTAATCTGTAGTGTTTGTGTTATGAACCTGCCAACAGCCCGGCAAGGGAAGCCAGTGAGAGGGACCACAATTAATGAACGACCATCTACCTCAGTTGCTGCTTTGAGTTGTCCTACACTGCCCTGCAATGTTGTGTAAGCCTTCAAAGGTCCACACGCCGAGACTATTTAATTGTGCTGACAAGATGTACCATAAGGACAGGCCAATTTAAATTATTTATTTTTAAGTGTTTGATCCCCAAGTTACCCGAGCATAGCAGAAAAACATAACTTTTTAAAATTTTAAAAGAGTAAAACAAAATAAATCTCTGCCTTGTGCCAGAGATCATATACCTATATGGTATATGGTCTCTGTTTCTGCTCACTGATCGAGAGAAAATAATTAGGTGGTCTGGCCTAACAAATGTTGTTTTGTTCCATGTTCAAAGTTTGCTGTAAGTTAGAAGATCTAGATATTGTTTATTAATTGTGCTGACAAGTCAATATCCAATGATGGTAGTCCTCATTGACTAGTAGTATTTGAGGGCTATAATTCTGAACCAGTTCTCAATGCTTTGATTTTGCTGCAAATTGGAACTGAATAAATCTGACAGAAAATGTAAACGCTAAACATTTTTGTCTCGTTTGAGCAGGACTAGCTACAAACTGGGGACAAGGATCCCCTTACACTAACCAATCATTGTGCTAAGGCTATTGTAAATCTGTTACTGGTGGGGATTGGTTTGTGCAAGTGGGTACAGTGAAATAAGGAGTCCTCTGGACTAGTCTTAAAAAAACAAATGTCTGAGGCTGTGTGTATCTAACTTGTGCAGGGCTAACATACAGAGGAAACATTAGTGACTATGCTTGTCGTAAAAGGCGACTAACGGGATCGAGTGGTCAGGCTCGCTGACTTGGTTGATCCACGTCATCGATCCCAATTGCGTGGATCGATGCTCATGATATCAATCACTGGACTGTCTGGTCCAGGCTCGATTATTTACAGACCGCCGTCATTTTGCTGGAATATTGCTGAATGCGGCGTCAAACAACAAACAAAACAAATTTATCTGAATGCCAGATTTATGCAGATTCGTGACTTATATGGAGCCTTGGTATTGTCCCACAGAACCATCGTAGCATGGAGCCTTGGTATTGTCCCACAGAACCATCGTAGCATGGGGCTAATGTTGTCCCACAGAACCATCGTAGAATGGGGCTAATGTTGTCCCACACAACCATCCTAGCATGGGGCTAATGTTAAGTGATGGAGGTTACAAGTGCCAAGATGGCTTTTTGAAAAAAGACCCTTGATAAACACAATACACGTTTAATCTCAGGCCATACTCCTCTGTTGTAATAGCCCTAGTATGGTGGCCTAGCTTCAGTTGTTGGTGATCCTTACCTGTTTTAATATTATGTTGTTTGTCGTAGTGTGGTATTTTTATTGTTCTGAAACTAGTTTTACTGGTTAGAACTGTGATGTATTACTTGTAGTTTGTTGTTGACAGTAGTTGAGTCATATAATGTTAGTGCATAACTTGTTCTACTCACTGTCCCACTGTAGATTCATCCTAAATGAGCACTGATGTCAAAATACTTCTAGTCCAAACTTAGCAGTACACAGGTCACTGTTACCATGGTTACCTCAAACAAATGATATTAAAGACACCGATCAGGGCAAATGAACATTCAGGAAAATATTAGATGTAAGATTACGTTCTAGTTCTGTGTAGATGGACTCATGGTTTCTTGTAAGAAGGATTCTGGTGCAGATGCTGTGTGGTAAGATGTATCTTCCAAGACCATTTGTACGCAGGGTAGCCTGGTGGTTAAAGTGTTCACTAGTCTAGTCTAAGATGCCCCTGACAATGTACTGTAGGCCTTTGGCAGGGTTAGAAACTAACAGTTTTCGTCCACTAGTCCTTTTAATGGTAACATATGGCAAAACCTTTTAAAATGGCACATTTCTACTAGTCCTTATGATACCTTTACCATTGGGCAGTTTTGCAAGGACCTACAGGACTCGTGCCAATTTCTAATGCTGCCTTTGGCCTCATCAGTACCTTTAATAAAGATTGATTGATTGGGGTTTGAATCCCCCCCCCCAAAGCAGCTTACAGAGCCAGTCAGTTGCACAGTAACAGAGTTCCTGTTGTTAGAATAGATTGTTGTTTGAATTTTAGTTGTTTCAGGTGAAACCTATATGTGTTTCAGAATGAGGTCAGGTTGATGTCAAGGTATCTAATCAAATGTCTATATTGGGCAACATACTATATAGTGTTCAGACCTGTGAAGATCCGGAGTAGAATAGGTCTTCAGCAACCCATGCTTGTCGTAAGAGGTGACTATGCTTGTCCTAAGAGGCCACTAACAGTAACGGCTGGTCAGGCTCGCTGACTTGGTTGATACATGTCATTGTATCCCAATTGGAAGTATTGATACTCGTGATATCAATCACTGGATAGTCTGGTCCAGATTCGAGTATTTACAGATTGCCGTCATATAGCTGGAATATTGCTGAGTGCGGCGTAAAACAACAAACAACATATAGTGTTCAGCATGTTCACCACAGTACATTCAGTGAAGTCTTTTGTTAAAAATTATGAAATTTATTTTGTTTTGTTTCACATATTTATCTTCCTATTCATTCCATGTATTCCCTTCCTCACATTATATTCCCCTGTTACCATGGTTACTGAGGTATGCCATCACGCTGAATATCCCAGATATTGTATTTTGAGTAGCAAAATTTTGATGTACCATAAGGACAGGCCAATATAATTATTTATTTTTAAGTGTTTGATCCCCAAGTTACCCGAACATAGCAGAAAAACATAACTTTTTAAAATTTTAAGAAGAGTAAAACAAAATAAATCTCTGCCTTGTGCCAGAGATAATATACCAATATGGTATATGGTCTCTGTTTGTGCTCACTGATCGAGAGAAAATAATTAGGTGGTCTGGCCTAACAAATGTTGTTTTGTTCCATGTTCAAAGTTTGCTGTAAGTTAGAAGATCTAGATATTGTTTATGCATTGGTTGGGATATTGTTTGTTATTTACATAATTCACTGTTACTGCATTATAGTTGTAGCTGGATACAGGTGTCGGGTGTCACGATACAGTGGGGTCAGGATACAATACGTAACCTGATACTATTGGTGCGACATGATACGAATCCTGATACAGTTCTTTTTGCAGGTGTTTCACAACCCTGAATCACTTGTTTTTGATTTTCAGAGATTGAAGATTGGATATTGTAGGACAGAGACATATGGCTAGAGGGTATTGTGAATGTTATGCTGTTTCTAGCCAAAGGGTAATAATATCTGCATAGAATAGAATCTGAATTGAATCTGCATAAGCTGATTGTTGAACAGTTTCTGTTACTATTGACTTGTTTTACACCAATATAACTTGCAATGTAATATATTGTATGTATCTGCTTTGCAGACCATTGTGATGTCATTGGTTACATGACATCAGAATCAAATGACATCACTAATGGCTCTGCTACTGAAGCTGTTAGCAGTCCTTTTTACACTAAGACACTGCTTATTACAGTCTACAAACTGAAAAGGTTGGAAGAATGATGTTGGATGATAAATAAAATCTCGCCCTCATGTCTTTTGATATCAAATTGACAACACTAGTTGATAAAAGTGGAAAAAAGCCTTGGAGTTTTCCCACTTATATCAACTCGGGTAAGATTTTCTATGTATTGGATCGTTGTCCTTGTATCGGGATACAATGTTGTATCACTGTATTGTTACACCTCTTGTATTTGCACATGCTGTACATGAGACACATCAGGTGCACATGCTCCCAAAACCACCAGTAGGAACTGTCCATTTCATATCCTGGTTTGGGGCCTGTGATTTTGTCTGCAGATTAGATATTCTTAAAGCCACAGCTGCAAAACCAGATATATTTGTTCATTAAAGCTATGAGCCTGAATCATTTTTTAAGAAAACCACCTTGCAACAATGTAATTTTTGTGGCAGACAAGTTCTTGTTTTATTTAACAGCCTGAAGCATACTTATATTTTTCAAGAATTTTCTGGGACAATTAATTTTTTGTGATAAAATCCCAGGTCAACTCAGAATATCAAATGTTCGGTCCTCAAGTCATTCGTTCAGTACTTCTGATTTTATTGACACACTATCAGTCATCAATGCAATACTATAGGTTATACACTTGAGTTCTTCGTTATCCTTTCAGTACTTTTTCTTATCCATATTGTACTTAGACCACCGTACCATACAAGAATATTGTTTGGTCACAATTAATTAGTTATTAGATTAATCCAAATTTTTATAATATGTGAAGCTGGAGGACTTTTATTTTCTAAGTTTAAGAAAATTAAAACCCTATTCAAGGCATCTGTGTACATTAATCATGTATGACTATGTATCTGGTGGAGTTTATCACGTAGTGAATAAGAGAACGTACATAGTGTGTTGGTACTTGGTGACCATGGAATGGTGGGCAGGAGTGAAGATCTAATATTTGATTATTATGACCTTATTGAGATGTATTATTGTTATAACACATTGGCTGAAGGAAAAATGACTTTTTCAATTATTTTTTTTAATGGTAAAAAATGGGGCCAGGAGGAATGGGGAAAGAAACAAGTTTAGAGTTACCTCCCTTGATCAGTCGAGATTCATCATAATTGATTTCGTATTTTATATAAAAATTTATGTTGA